CGTTGATTCGAAAAAGGCCTATCTGGAAAATGTTTTAAATTATCTCTTAGACTACGATGACGCAGATTTCCTTGTTATTCTAACGTGAAATCTGTAATTCAAGGCGATTCTCCAAAAGTGGTGATGGTAAAAACGAGGTGCAAAAATACTTTATACCCTGCCTTGCAACAAAACTCACATCTTTCTATTTTCCTGTAAAGGTACCTTATATAAAACATTGCTGAACTTGCCTAGAGCATAGTTGTAAATCCAGTTAAAAAAAGAAGATCCATATCCTACAGTGATTGGTTTCCGAGAGAAAGGCCTATCAGGTGGCAAAACTTAATGGTATGACTTCAACTCGCTCTCAGCATTTGGAGTCAAATGGGTGGCTTTCGCTTTCCCCTTTGCTCTCTCTCTCTCTCCCTCTCCATATATATATATATATATATATATATGAGAAAACGAATAATTAACTCCTGGAGGAGCAGATTAATTTCATAGAGCGATGCAAATATTTTGCACGATCCATCACGAGCTCCTATTGTAACTAGCATCTATAGTGTTTTTGTACAGGCAAAATATACCAATAGTATAGCACCAACCAAGTAAACTATGCAATGACCAAAATAAAATTATTTATATAGGTATATGATTACAAATAAAATGAAATGAAATAAAATTAAAATTATATTATTAAAGTATAAATATAAATGTATGGGAGCTCTCTCTCAATTACTTTAGATATATGTATATATAAATATAAATAAATAAATAAATATATTTTATATTTTAGTCAATGAGGAGGTATGAAAGGTATTCACCCTATTTCGATTAAGGCGATAAAGGACTGGTATCTGAATTTTTCCACAGTGATATGAGTGGTCCATACGTTGCACATAGCCTCGCTTCCCAAAATTAATTTGAATCCAAGCAGGAGTGGGCTGCAATTTCGACCTCGTCCGACATGGTCTCATCGGCACCTTCAGCGGGACTCGAGCCCAGCTTGATGTATGCCATTGTATACTGCCGATATCCTAACCATTACACGACATTAGCAAAAGTCCCTCTTGGTCACAATGCAGAAGTGTATTTCAAAGAAGTCACGTGCTTTTCCAGGCCATAAGAAAGCAAGGCTTTGTGAAATTCAATGGAAACATTAGGCCTACTCATTTTATTGTGGAAAAATGTCAACTACCAGTCCTTTATCACCTTAAACGAAATAGTGTGAATACATTTCATGCATATGATTTACTGGGAGTCTCACTCACAAAACAAAAAAATAAGTAGGCAACTCGGTTGACTATCGCTCTATTGATCTATTCTCCTCATACAATATCCATTGGTTGTAGTCTCAATGGACCCTACACAAATATATCCACTTCCTTATAGCTGCGATCTTCTACTCCACAAGTTAGCTACTAGCCAACTCAGTTTGCTCCCAGCCTGCTTTAGCAATTTCTTTTATCGTTACAAATTATATAATTATATAATTATATAATGCTTGTTTGTCTCACCCTAACAATTAATTATGTAATGGCTATAATTTGGTGTATTTTATAGACCCATTCTTACGGATAATTAGATATTGGGTTGCAGCTACTAGGTAATCGTCATTATTTTATCCGTCCTAGTAACATTCTGTTCAAGATTGATTGTCATTTTGGGTCTGGTGGCCATTAGCTACAATATTTCATTAGCTCCGATAGTATAATAAACGGCTTACATATACAACATCTTTGCAGCTGATTGTTTTTCGTAGCTATTCAATTTGCTATGCGTTTTACTTTCCATCATGCAAACCAGTCAACTTAGAAATTAAAGGCTTTTTTTTTAAGTCTTAAGACGCATTGTCATTAACTTGTCCAGGAATTTGATCTAGAATGCATGTGCTTTTGTTTGTTTTTGCTTTTGTTAGTTTTCATGCTTCAACCATCGTTCATCTGCTCAATCAACCATTATATGATCTTTTGACCCACTTTTATTCGCAATGCCTCCAATGCCTTTCAAAATGTTATTAAGAATAAACTCTGTTAGGTTATTACGCATTCTTCATGCCTATCTATGCAGGCATGTGCCTGTATGTATGTTTATATTTGCTTGCCTTTGTTTGCTCGGCCAATGTGCTATTTTCCCGGCTGATCTAATTGGTGCATCAATTATTCCGGGAACCTGGTGGTTTCCAGTCGACTTAACGCCCCATCCTTGAAAGGCACATGGAGACCTCCTCAGTCAGCGATCAATACTTTCCTACCACACAAACAAGGTTGTCAATTTTTATCCAATTACTTGGTCAGTTTGATGATTCATTAGTTTATTAGTTAATTGGTTTTAATGATGTGTCATCCATTGTCAAGCGATTAGACTACAATTGACTTGGTGATCTAGTTTAGGGGGCGCTGTTTACGTCATTCACTGGTCGACTTGACCGATAAGACAAAAGTTTAACTCGAACTGAGTTGTTCTGGAGTTTAATGATGAAGTGACTGTGAAACGCTTCAATTTTCTGCTCGTTTGTTGAACGATGCATTGTTAATCTTTGCTTCATCCCACATATTGTGTCACGTCCCGTCTTCAGTATGTTACTAAGACGGAGTTTCGTCATAAACCGGTGCGTTTCTAGGGCTGACCAACCAAAGTTGTTTTCTGTAGCCTATCCACCATCAAATTGGACCGAGGTCTCTTCACTAAAATTACTCTTAGCCTCAGCACTCCTACCAAATAGCCCTCAGTCTCGCTTCCTCGCAACGGTCGGTAAGCCGAAGACGACGCCCACACTCGTTGACTGTTCCAGCCTCTTTCGGTTGAGTCGTCGTCATAGCGGCCGACTGGGCATGTGGTTGACCATGGCGGAGGTTGCTGCTGGAGGGGGTGGTGACAATCCTGTCAGCTGGGCGAAGAACACGACTAGCATATTCCTCGCTTGACGCTTAAGATACATGAGGCAAGCATACACACAGAACAGCTTTCCTGTACACAAATAGGCACAAGCCTATACATGCACATGTACCTATAAGTCGCCTAGCCTCCAGATAACGCTGTATGAGAGGTTATTTCTACGAAAAATAGGTCTTCCGCCCCATGCTTAATATACTATGCCTAGGAAACATGGCCTATCTAAAGACAAAAGAGGTCTCAGCCACAAACAGCCTTCTAGCAAGAGGTAGGATGAGACTGAGTCACTAAAACGACTTTCATCTCACTCTTTCGCTGTCTCTCTCATCCTTTTCTTGAAATGCAACAACTGCTGCCGCAGTAAAGGCAAGGCAAGCCACATGTTGACGGAGGACCGTATCTATGGCTTGAGGAAAGTTTAGGACAATAATTGAAAATTGAGGGTTACAAAGGGACTGTGGGCCCATAAAAAGAACATATATCAACTTAATCGGCGCTGCTGCCCAGAGAGGTTTTTCACACTGCAGTAGCCAGTAATTATTTGTTGGGAAAAAGTGAAAATGCGAGTCTTCTTAACATGTGGATTGAGAATCGCCAGAACTCTTGTTCCTGTTCCTGTTCTCATGATTGCAGTTACGATTGGACTCTATTTCTTTAACAGATTAGCCCCATATTTAATAAAAATAACTTGTGAAAAATCCATCCTCGCGCATTTACTTGCTCAAAAGGGTCTTGAAATTGTCTTATTCAGTAGAGTTTCGAGACTAACAGCCACTATTCTCACTAATCGGCCACCACTGTCCCTATTGACGATGTCAGAGAGCCACTTAATTTTCGAATCAGACATGTCATCTCGCACATACCAGATCATTTTATCGAGATGGACAACTCACACAATGCTGATGCGCTGCCTCGAAACCACTCTAAAGAAGCCCATTTGGATAGTCTTACATGTTGATCTGACCGCTGGTATTCCACGCCTCCTTAAGCGGGCCCCTAAAAAGGCGACCATCTTAATAACTCTATTTGGCATTTCGTTCTCTTGCACCAATTCTCTGCCAGTGAACTCTTAAAAAGTAGCACTACCTTCCAGTTTTGTGATTGGCTCCCGAGATTCTGCTACTATAACTATTATTCAAGATCTACTGACAGTCGCGAAGCCTACTTACCACAGATATAAGTAACATAACCGATCATACTGAAAAAATACAAGATTTCATTTTTAAGTAGACCTTAGAAACTAACAGTACATCTTGCATAGGAGAACTGCCTACCCTATTTCGTTTAGACTGATGAAGGGCCGGCAGTCCCGAAGCCATACTTGCAAACGAAAGCAGGTAATTTAGTCAAATGTAATGGCAAGCATAACTTTGCTCCATAGACGATCCAACACAGAAAGTGATGTGGAAAAGGCCTGGCTTTCTATGAAATTCACTTCCGCTCTGTAATGCAAGAGCACACCTGATCGTGTGGCCTAGTGCTTGACGTGTGTGAAACTATATATACACTGCACTACCACAAATCAGGTTCGAGTCCGGCTGATGGTGTTGATGATACCAGTTCAGGCGAGTTCGGAAATGCTATCCACTCTGGCCTGGATGAAAATGTCTTGAGGGAAGCAAGGCTGTGTGAAATTCAATGAAAATGTGAATGCGGGAAAATTCAACTACCAGACCTTCACCATTCTTAACGGAATAGGATGAGCACAATTCGTATACCCAATAAAAGG